GGGCGGACTGAAGGTTGCCGCAGTGGGTGGTACGATCTGGGAGGGTCACTAGGCCTGGGTGAAAACCAAAAGTGAAGCCATGAATAAGAAACTCAACGAAATCCAGATCAGGATGGTGTTTTAAGGCGGAGTGTAGAGCACTCACCTTCATGAGCGTGGCCAGATGGCATGCTAGTCAGGTGGGGTTGTGGGGACAGGAGGACTGGGCATGAGCGCCGCCGCAGAAGGAGCAGGTGTGCAGAAATCTGCAACTATAAACAAAGCAGCCCAGGTCGTTGAAGTTGTTGCACACCATGCGGCCGCCTTGGTAGAGGATGGGGCGGCAGCGTTTGTCGATGACCCCGGGGGGAGGGGCAACGAGCCTGCGCTGAACAGGAAGGGACTTGGGGATCGGGGGAGGGGGTGGGATGGTAGGAGACAAACGTTCAAAAACAGAAGGGCCACGGGCGGCGGAGGACCGAGAACGGAGGGGCATGACGTAAGTGCAGGCGGTGGCGGGTGTGAAGGAGCGCCACAGAGACTGCATCTAATGGAAGGTCGAGCGGCGAAGACACGGCAGTAGAGCTATGAGTCCAGAGCACCCCAAAAGGTCCCCTGGTTAAACTGGGCTTACCGACCTGCTGCCTGAGTGGCAAAAAGGACATGGTACTCGTAAAAGGCCATGCCTCCGAAACAGTGTGCCATATCGAGCACAATGGAAAGATAATCGTCGAGCTCTGAACGGTGGTCGGGGAAAAGGGAACAAATTATGTCCCTAAAGAGTGAGAAGGCCAAAGCGAACTCAGCTGGGGTGAGTTCCTTGGAACGGGAGACTGAGGGGTAGCCTAGTTGCATGGGCCCCAGGCTGGTTAGCAGCTCGCGGGGCAGGCCAGAGTGGCTGAGGGAGGGCTGAAGGAGTAAGGCTAAATCAACATAATTACCCTTCAGAATCTGCTGGCGCAGAGCAGGGGAAACTGGGGAGGGTCGAGTCGGGGTTGAGTGGGGGCGAAGTAGGGGTACTGCTGTGGATAGAGAGTAGTGGTTAGAATGATGGGAAGGAACATAGGATGTCGGGAGAAGGGGATTGGGGAAGGTTAAAGGGAGAAATGAAGGCGCAGGAGGTGTAAAAGGGGGCCCCGAGATGGCCGGTCGTTGAGCCAGGGCTGCAGATGGTAAAGGTAGGGATGAAGGAGGTGGATGAGGAGCTTGAATGTGCTCGCTAGAAAAGGGGAGAGGAGCGGAAAAGGATTGAGAAAGAGATGGGAGGGAAGAAAAAGAGACAGAGGGATGAAGGGATGAATGAACGGAGGGGATGAGTGAGGCCTGACTGGCCTGGGGTTGAACGACTGGGTCAACGTGGGAGGGTTGGGATGAGGGGGGTAAAGAAAGAGAAGGTACAGAAACGACAGGGAGTGATTCGACCTGACTCCCACTAGGGGGAGCTGTTGGCGCTGGCATGGACCCGGCTGGAGTTGGGGCTGTGACATCACCGCTGAAGACGGAGGCAAAGTAGTCTGGTGAATGGGTTGTAGCTGGATCGTTGGAGCTGGGTGCAGATTTTTGGATGGCTGAGCTGTAGAGGAACTTTGAAGACGAGTTGAGGTGAGCAGCTGAAAGAGGGTGGACTTGGAGGATGAGCGGTTGAAAGGAATTCTTCTGTCCTGCAATGTGCTACGGAGCTCCTTTGCGGTCCATCTTGCGGGAGTGAGGCGGCTTGTGGGTGCGGATGAGGAACGCCGTGCCCGGGTGGGTGCAGCGGGTCGGGAGAAGTGCGATGAAGACTTCGACTGGAGCGGCGAAGGAGCCCGCAGCCGCGGGGCTCGGCCTCAGACTGAGGAGCGGCGGAGGGTGGAGGCGCTGGAGTTGATGCGGGTTGGGAGGAGGACAGGTGCGGTGGGTAGGGCTGTGAACTGGCACGCCGGCGAGGGATCTGCCTGACGACCGAAGGTGGGGGTACTTTGCGGGGCGGTTGGAAGCTGAAAAGGGGGTCGTCCGAATTGGAGGAATCAGGATCCAGGAAGAGGACGTCCACAGTGAGTTGAGAAACTGTCTTCTCTTTCTTTTCTTTTCTGAAAACGCTTGCGCGGTCGAGACAGCGAGCTAAGGGCAGATGCCAGGTGAGTCGAGTTTAAATAGACGATGACTGATTGCTGCAGGTGAGAGGCGTGGTCCTGCTCCCGAACCTAAGTTAATGTCTTAACTTCATTTTGTGATGTGTTGCTGACCTCATGTGCTAAACTCTATTACAGAATGATGTGAGTTTTTAATACAGTGCTGCCTGAGAGGTCGAAGGTCACACGCAACTTTGTCCAGATTCTCTGAGTCTTTTGATGATATAATGGACTATAC